TATCGCTTTGGTTCAGTGTAGTTTTTTCACATATTTATAAGAATGATTCAATTGATTACACAAGATCTCCAATCTTTGCTCCATTAGAGTAGAAAATATGGGTTTATCATTCGATTTTACGTCTTTGTTTCTCAGAGAATCGAGACAATTCTAATGTTCAGATTCAAGGGTGTCTCGTTAGCTTGTATTTCCTCCCACGCGAAATTCTTTGCCGGAGGACTGGCTTCTCCGACAGAATTGTTGTATAACAGTCTCGCTGCGAGTTCACCCTCCGGAATTCGCGTTCAAAGAGGAACAAGGGAGCTCGGGGTATTGTGCGTGTGCTCGCGTGACCGTAGCGGGGATCACCAGATTGGGCGTAGGTCAGTTATGCAACGTCGCTGGCCATCGCACTTACGAACTGTGACGCGTCACTCGCTTCCCGTATTACGTGGAACAGATTCCTGGTGTACGCGTCTATTTCACCTTCCGCTCTTGGGAATCAGATTTCTTGCGCGTTCGAACGCGACGTCGGGAAGAGACCCAGTCGGGATTATCGAGGGTGTCTGGGAGAGAGATTTAGGGAGTGCGTCTCAATGAAAAATTGAACGAAATTGATGGGAGTCGACGAATGCGACCGGCTGTTTCCGTTTCTGTTCCCTGGAACAAAGACGGAATGGCGGGGGTGCCTGGCAAGATGGCCGACGACCACCTCTCGTCCCGGGGGTTGACCTTTTCCCGGAATAAGAGATTCCCGGCCCGAGATACAGCCGTCGAATCGTTGAATAATACACGCGTCCCATTTCGATGAAAGTCGACGCGACGATGCTTTTCGAAAATACCTCAACCGACGTATTCACCACGGTCTTTTTTTATTTTCGTCAAAGACGAGGAAACAGGGTGTTTAGAGCCTCTCGATTGAAGCGGGCGACCAGGCGGCGCGGTATTGCTGGTTGTCCGCGCGCTCGGTTCTAGTTGTGAATATAACTCGAGGTATTTAGGTGAGCGCATGCATTTCCGCCGGTCGTCGTTTGCTGGACGAGGAGGTCGATAGAGGGACGGGGAACACTCGCGCGAATACTATTTTCCCGTGCGAGGGACAGAGGTGGATAGAGAGATACGTGGACGAGTATGCGTGGTTGCAAGCTTGCGCTAGCGATGGGACCGAATCGGATAAGGCTCCGAAACCTTCGATCAAACATTTCCAAGTGGCAACGCGTGATTAATCGCACAACAGTTGCAACTGTACATACGGTGTACAGTAAAAATCCCAATTTCTGTTCACTGGCTTTTACAATTTTATATGTACGCATTTACGGAAAGATTGAACGTGTATAAAATGTAATACACGTAATGTATAAATGTGCCCGACAAATTAGACAAGAAATACAATCTTCATCCATCTTAATTTCCAGGAACTGAATAATTACGATAATGAAGAAAACAATATTTATACATGTGATGAGAGGCGTACATAATTTTATTGCTCGACTTTATTAATTCTGAAAATGTAACGTAAGAAGATATCTTAATTAGATTCGAAGTTTAATCGATATGTTAACCGGAACGGAGAATAAGGGTAGTGGAAAGTACTAGCCCTTGTATAAAAAGCCATGACGCTGTGTTCAGCGAAGCGAGTTCATAATTCTCGTTCGATTTTCTCTTTCGTAACTGAAGGAATGGCGTGTATTCTGAGAAGTTTCAAGCGGAATCTAACTACGTGTGCTGAGTCGTTCTAATCGTTTAACAGCTGTAACCGAATCGGAGAGTTTTTGCGTCACGACGTCGTGAACGGAGATTAGCATCTGCTGGCGTGCATAACCGGATTCGTAATCGATAAGCGAAACTGCGTGCGAGTGCATCATTCCCATCGCCCTGTCCGTCCGGTGCTCCGTAAGCCTGTCGCTGATAAAGGACGGGGAACGATAGCGAGACGGAGAGGAATAGAGAAAGTCTGGTGAGCAACAGAGACCGAATCGTGCGACGAAGATGGTGAACGAGAGAGTGGACCGCGAGCGTAGAAAGAGCGAGAGTGACGAGAGAAAAAGGAGTGTAAAAACGGGCGAGAAAGAGAAGGAGAAACGGTGGTGGAAGCATGGAGAAAGGGCGAGCGGCGAAGGACGCGGAGGAATTAGAAGGATGGATTTTCTGAAGAGGGACAGGAGGAGAGAGGACCGCGAGGAGGAATTCTAAGAGGTCCGGGATAGACGAGGGCGCCGGAGTGGAGCCGTGACGGAGAGAGACGGACTACGAAGCGAGGGAGGAAAAGTGTACGTCGGAAAGAGATGAAGCGATCTATCGCGAAAGGGAGCGCGAACGATGGCTCAGCAAGAAGGAGGCATGTTCGGGCTCGGGGTGAAGTGCCATCCACGACACGGAATTAAGAATCAGAAATCCGAGAGAGAAGAAGTGGAGATGAAAGAGGAGATGCAGGCTGGAAAAATGAATACGAAAGATACTGTATACGCGAAAAGCGAGCTCTCCGATTAGGTCGTGTAATCGGTGACATGACGTCGAAACTGTTCTGTAGAAGAAATCGGAATCGGGAAAGTCTTTTGTCCCATTGAAAGGAGCCAAATACTACACCGCGTTGAGCTGTACCAGCACCTATTGTTTTGAGAATCTTTGACTCGCGAGATAGAGCGAGATTCAGAAAAGAGCCAGCCGGCGGTCTGTATACGTGCGTGTGGTTTCACGTCTCCTACGAAAATAAGCTTTAGCCTCAGCTGTGTGGAACAGATGTTTCGGAAAAGCGTGCACGGAGGAAGGAGGGACCGGAGGGGAAAAGTGGACGAGAGATCCCGAGAGCGAAACGTGCGCTCACGTTGGTAAATAGTACACGCGTAAAAGCTCGACGAAGAAAGGAGTGTGGAGCACGGCAAAGAGCAGAGCGATGCAGAGGAGCGTCGGCGAAACGGTGTGTGGGAAATGAGAAAGAAGAGCCGCGCGAACAGAGAGAGATTCTAGGAGGCAAAGAGAAGAAGAGAGAAACACTGACTCGATGTAGTGGATGGAAATGTGTAGGTCAAAAGCCTTGGTGCACCTCCGAGCGGAGGAGCCACCTGCAAGGACAATATAATCAACGTAGCGTGATCCGTGAGTGCTTCGCTTGGCCTCGCGATCCTATCACGACGCGTAGATCCCTCGATCGCGATCCTCGCGTGAAACGAAAAAATCATCCTGGCTTCGGTTACTAGAAAGGCAATCGACTTTGTTACGAGGTCGTGTCACTTACAACTCTGGGAGTCGATAGAAATAACGTTTTAAGCAATATCACCTGCAAAATTGGCGACTCTTATACAAAAGAATAATTCTTCTATAACTTCCTTTGGCGATCTATCACCAATTTCAAATGTTCGAAGCTATCCAAGTTCAGGTAGGACGATCTCGAGTCGAAGAGGTATAGAGAGAGATCAAATGGAGAAATTTTCTGGCACAATGTCCATCGTTCACTGGCTCAGGCTGCAGTTTAACGAATGACCTGCAGCTTGGACTGCGCTTCCCTCGCGAGCGTTCACGGCTCGGGCTCTCCGGTTTCCGGCCGGCAGAGCGCGTCGTTGCGTAAACGCAATGTCGGGAAAGGAATCGTAATGTGGAAAGGTCAGTGTCTTTCTTTCTCCGGTGACGTCGACGGCCCGGCACGAACCGCGCCTCCGAAAATATTCACTCGCGGCGAAAACCATTCAAGCCCGAGCCAACCGTCCTCTTCCTCTCTTTGCTACTTGTTTCTCATCGATGTAGAGTTCTAATTAGTAGCGAAATTTATTTCACGTACACTCCCATAATATCAGTTTAAGCATCCCAAAGAGTCAAGCGAATTCTCAGTAAAGTTGTCCTAAACCACTTTCCGTTTTATACGGCTTATCACTGTGAAAGATAATACTCGCGTATCACATTATACAACTAAACTAAACTATCAAACGATTGATACTCGCGAGTTAATCGAGGGGTTGGTTGCCGTTTTGAAGTTGCGATGCAATTATTATCAGTCAGCTATCGACTAAAAAGTTTTAACCGACCATCAACTGCGTTATCGATAATCGTGGGCGTGTAGGCGACGAGAGTCTCGCGATACTTTGTAATTATCTCGTAAGCGGCCGATCAGGTGGTAAATTAATCGATCGATGTAAAACGAGAGCGCTCAAAGTTCCGGCTGTCGTAGATTTATCGCCAACGGGGCGATGAAACGAGGGAAGGAGACAACGTGAATTCAATCCGTCGGATCGGAGCGACGAACTTCGTTCCTGCTGGGCAAATTCTTTTTCGCGGCCTGGAAACACGAACTACCTACTACCACCGCATGCTCTGGTATGCGATACGATTTGCGTTTGCAATCGGAGTTCGCGCAACGCGGCAGGTGTGCACGCACCGAATCTGGGGAAGGTTTACTGTTTCGCGATCTAATCAATTTTCCGCGGAATTCCTTACTATTCAGAAATTCAAGATTCTTTGGATTCTTCGGTCTATAATGATCACACAAAATACTGTCTTAGGAGAAATTCGAGAACGCGCATACGTAGCGTAAAATAGTCACTGATATCTGGAAAGAACAGACACGTTTAAGGGCGACGTGGGTATAGCTCTCCCTTGTTTCCCTTACTCCTCACGAATCATTGAAGCCAGGATCCTACTGGCACTGGCAGATTTTTCGAAATCCCGAGCCAACCAATGTCCGATCCTGTAATTAGGTTTGCGCTGCCAGTAATACCATTACCTGGTAAGCAGGCAATTTCCTTGGTAGTCGTTTCCGTCCTCCGAGACCGGTTCCTTCGTTTAGCCATTGCATCTCCGAGCAACTTCTTTCAAACACATTTGTAATAATTACTCCATAAACGGGAAAACGTCATTCCGTTCTTTCAATTGCTCTTAATTATCGTTCTCACCTCTGAGATGAAAAACAAATAATGCTTTGCAAAATCGCACATAATGGAAATTTGTACTAATTTTATTTGAGACGATCATTGATCAAAAGTGTTCCACTGAGATATTCTTTAATCACGATCGAATATAATATTTTTCAGTGGCGTTGCTATATCATGCGGCGAGTGCAGCAGCAGTGGTACCAGCGATATTACGGAACCGGGTTCACCGTGCAGTACCAGTAGCGACGAAGGGGTAGCGATACGGGGCGCGTCTGCCAGTCCACTTCCGTCCCTACCCAAGCTGGCGCCGTCCTCGCAGGTCGGCACCAGGCCCCAGTGGCCCTGGACCCCGCCATTGGCAGCCACCCCGTGCTCTACCTACAAGAGGCTCAGGGGTGAGCCCGAGGCTGGCGCCGTACCAAGGTCCGGGGCCGCGGATCCAACTTTCCGGGGAACCATTAAATCGAAACCGAACGTCGGGCATCATCATCAGGAGTCGTCTCAGGGGAAGATCACCGAGTACTTTAAAACTCAAATTAAACCTCAGCAGCTAAAGGTATGTACTCGACGTCTTGCAACATTCTAATTTATTAATCAATCGATGTAAAAGAAGTTTGAATGTTTATATACAAATGCGCTATATTGCTTTGTACATGGGAACGTATTGATTCTTGTTCACAGATCAAGAAGAACAGCGAGGCCATGTCGGTATTGGTCGCGAAGAGTTCAACGGAGTTTCGGAGGCCGTCCACGATCCAGAGGAACAAGGCTGGCTTGGCCAAATACCTAGGGACCGTGACGCCTAATGGAAGAATGAACAACTCCAACAATGATTGGGAAGTAAGGAGCACGTTGACGGTACCGTCGCCGGTGAAGAGACCGCTGCCGGTAGTGATAATACCGAGGACCAATGGTAAGATGGATAAGAAGCTGCCTAAACCGATGGTCAGCCTGCCCGTGTCAAACGATGTATTGAAGAGCATCCCGAGTTGCAAGATCACGTCACTAAGGTAGGGCTATCTTTTACTTTTTGGCGTGCCTCGAACATCGACATCTTCTGTCATCCTTTTAGCTGTTACGCTCGTAACTACGAAATCCTTTTATCGAGGTACGCCATGTTTCAAGATAAAAATCATATCATCCATAATTTTCTATTTGTTCATATAACAGCGTCACACTAATATTTTATTACGGATATTAAGGGGAAGTAGGACACTACCCTCGAAAACAATGTTCGTAATTCTCTTTGTTGTCAACCAGGTTATCTACGGATCCAATGTCGGGCATAAAAAATATTTCGACGTCACCGTCGACACCAACACCTGCTCTAACCAACGAGGTTGCAACCCTCGATTTTAAGGGATGCATACTTTCGAAGCCTCACACGAACGAAAACAACAATCTGACGAACGGATGTGGGAGCATCCTCGACTCACTGAGGTCTCAGGCCAGCGTGGACCCATTGGCGAGGCTAAAAGTACCGGAGTCGGAAACCGAGAAGATTAAGGAGCGACAGGCGAGTCCCACCGACGATGTCGAGGAAGAGGAAGAGGATTCGAGGAGCAGCGTATCGAAGCCACCTTTGTCGCCTATTCTTTCTGCGCCGACCACCATACGATTTCCGGCCAGGGAACCGGAGCGGCAGCAAGGGGCAGACAGCGGTGTCTGTCGATGGGACAAGTGCGAAGACAACTTCGAATCGAGCGGAGAACTTCTCGAGCACTTGCAGGTAAAACCAGTTACAATTTTACAGATTTTATATTAAACGACATCGTGCAGCAGATCGATATTTTATATACAGGTTTTAGGGTATATTTTTTTCAACACTCCGACCGCTAACATGTAGCAAACAAGTAATTCGAGTATGCCGAGGAATTAACAAAGTATACGTATCGCGTTTCGAGTTTTCTGTTACATTGTTGTGATTCCCCCGTCATTGTTCACGGATCTCGCAACAGCGACGTCCGATACATTTTTTTTTATACGTAATCGATACCGCAACATCTTGCTACCGTCGAATATCCGTCGCATACTGTTTCGCTGCAACATTTCAACTGTTTGATCCGACGAAAAGGTTTATCGGGGTTGATCCGTTTCAGGTGGCGCATATTAACTCGCAAACTGGAGGCGACAATTTCGTTTGCCAGTGGCAAGGATGCAAAGTACAAGGGAGAAGCTCCTGCTCCAGGAGGTGGCTGGAACGCCACGTGTTATCGCACGGTGGCAACAAACCCTTCCGCTGCATCGTCGATGGCTGTGGAAGCAGATTCAGCTCTCAGGTAATGCGTCGCATCCGAAGTTCGCCTTCTCTGTCGAACAACTGGAAAGTTCATTCTCTTTGCAACTAAAGAGATGGTTTATTACGAGTTCTACTTATTTTGTGTAACATTTTAATGCACGGCCTACGCGCATTATATCAATCTGATTGAACTTCTATTTCTATATTTGTCCCTGTTTACTTTGTCTTTATGAAAAATTGTTCGAATCACTTCTTGAACGTGATAATGATGCTGGTTTTATGATTACCCGGAGCTATTCATTCATCTGTACGTTTCATTCATCTCAATATCGGATACAATCCCCGTTGGGAAGTTGTGGTCACAAAGCCACAAGCTCGATATTACGTATCGTTTCATGATCCTTGAACATTCGCGCGACGTGAGAGCAGCGTAACGGATATTTGCCTCTCCGTTGAATAACCCGGTGGCGATTACTCTAACTTGCTTTTCCTCTATGAGTTATCAACGAATTCCTGTATCCTTCATCCGTCATTATGCACGGAGGAAATACTTTTGTTAATGCGTCGACGGTGACTGTGGTGCGACGATTAATCAAATAAATGTTTTTCCTGTTTATTAAGCATTTCAACGAGCTACACGTTTTCCAAGTATTCTGAAGGATGTTTGTTGTACATATTGTTATCATTCGATGTTGCTGACGTTGGGTAATGTATCTTGCGCGCGCTAAACGAGGGATTACGCGCTCATTCTCTTCGAACGAGGCGAGACTGTTCTCGTTCGGATCGGACGTACTCCCTGGTTGACTTCTACTAGAACGCTAATTTATTGAGAGCGAAGCTGTGCCGGTTAAGAGACAAAGAAATATCATGAACTTCGTCGATGCTTGGTCTGAACTTCGATTTATTGACAAATCACACGTTATATCGATCAGTCTGTGTGTCATTGATAGAAATTTCGTTTTCCTGTATCTTAACCGTTACCGTTGTTGCCTGTGAACGAAGCAATAACTTCGGAAGTTGCCTCGGTCAGACCGCTTATCTTCGAGAATGCGGGCAATTTCCAGGGACAGCTGATACGTACGTCTGTCCTTTGCGATTTCTCTTCGACGACATATTTTGTCGACACCTGACCACACTCGTTGGTATTGCTGACCCTTGTTTTCGCAAAGAAAAACGAATGCGTTTCATTATTCTGGTACAGGCGCACTTAGATTCATCATCGATCGACTCACTTCGCGCATTTCCCTGTTCATTGTACAAGCAACTATATCTTTCAATGTCTGCCTCCAGACATTTACTATTGATTCTGTCTTCGATCCTTCACTCCTCCGATAGGCGGGGACCGCTTTCCCTGGAAGGTGCCCGCATCTTAGGTGGTAACCGTCCTAATCCTTTTTCCAGCCCGCTTTGGAGAGGCATGTGAACGGACATTTCAATCAATCGGAGAATAGCAACAGCAGTAAACGGAGTTGCGAAAGCGGAGGAAAACTGGTCAGAAGAAATGGGAAACGTCTCCGATACAGGCGGCAACCTTGGTCAGGTAACTGTCGTTCATCGATACGAGAAATTCCTCGAATTTCTATGTAACTATAATCGTTGCATTGCGTTATTTTTTTTTACGCAGCGAGGATATTCGACTACTTCGATTCTGGGGTGATGGAAGGTCTCCAGCACAGGCTACACCAATTGGCGAAGTCAAGAACGCAAGGTCGTCTCGCGGAGACTCCGGGAAATTCGATGGCCCTAACTAGTCAAGTAAGTATTGTTCCATTGGCCAAAAGAATTACTTGCCCCGCGAATCGCCAGACAGAACCATGGTTCTCAGATACGGTCCGTACGCTATCATCCAATATTGCCCGATTCTCCTCAAGCGTCAATAAAATACATGACCCTTACTACTTCTCATTACTACTGCTAAATGAAGAATTGGTGGCAGAAGAGGAAGCATAGATTGTACACATGTCCCCTATCTGAGAACCGTGGATGGGATCGCATTTCTAATCGAATCTTCTTATTTGAATAGGTATTAGCTCGAAGAGTAGAATTGGATGGGAAGACTAAAGTTCTGCTGCGATGGTATCCTCCAGACATGTGAGTAATTCAATCTTCTTTTCTTTGAATTTCATTGGTTTATCAATTACAACTTTGTTAATTGTTCCCATCAGCGAGCCGGACGAGTGGGTGCTAGAATCCGAAGTACAAAGCACGAAGAACGTGGGTATAAGAAAAGCTGCGGCGAGCCACCCCGAAGAAGTTAGCCTCGCCCTACATCCGGCAATAAGCGACGACCCGCCGCCGGTGACGCGAGTGAAGCAGCGTCGAAAACCGGTGAAGAACTCGTGATGATGTCGACGTCACGGTGACCGAGGATAAGCGTAACGATTAAGAACCAACCGATGATACAAAAGCCAGAGAACTGCGTCAGAGACGAGTCCTGTATCAGGACGGTACTCGAGTTTTCTGGTCTGTACAGAAGGGGCTTGGTGAACCGACAAACCGGAACCGAAACCGGGGTTAAACGTTCTGCCTCGCGAGAGTAAGGATGGATGTCCAAACGGGAGAATCGACGTTCGAGAAAAACGCTACGCGCGAAGATCAAAGGAGCCATTGCGAGCTGTAAGAGTCTCGCATCCTCGGCTGTGGAACCGAACAAGGAGAGACAAACAAACGGAACGAATCACTGGGAATGTAGCTGAAGAGTACCCGACACGTGGGGAAGAAAGAGTAAATACATTCTAATTTATTTAGCCTAAATCGATCGATCTTTAGGTGATATAATTAGTAGAATCGTTGTAATAGCGATGAAGCGATATTCTTGTTGCCTATCGATAACTAAATCGTCGAAACGTTGGGGTCGATTCCTGCCACGAGTGCCTGTCGCGTTAGATTGCGTCCGATAGCAAGGCGCGGCTCGCACTCGTCGGACTCGGAAGGGCTAGGCTTGGGCCTCAAAAGTGCCTCACCGTGGATGCGTTTTTATATCGGTGACCGTCGTACAAGACCAATGAATAAAACGACGGTGTTGAATTAAAATGCAAAAAAATAATATTAAAGAAAAATAAAAACAATAACGCAAAACTAAGATTTTACTCGGCGCGTTAAAACGCGCGGAGAAGAGGAGGAAAAAAAAGTAGAAGACGCTGTTAAACGTTAGTTGACGATTGTAAGGAGATAATCACTCTGGTGGCCTTAGGAATCAATTAATATCTAACAATGGCCCCTTGGCACTTCCGGGCCCTGTTTAAGATACCCCTAGCAAGAGAGAAATCGGGAAAGAAGAATAAGGGGTGCAGAATATGAAGGGTGCTGCGAAACGTAGACCTGCACCACTCACCCTCGACCCTAAACCAACATTCAAAAGTAAATGCGTATCTACCTCGATCTTCAACTCGGTAGAAATTGATGGAGGCCGTTGTCGTACGACGAGGGAGGAAACGAGGAGAAGCTGGAAGGAGAACGAGATGAAGAGAGGGTGAGCGTGAGCTCGTGGATTATGCCGGATAACAAAATCTTACGAAAAGAGAACGGACAATGGACGGAGGAAATCGCAACGTGGTATCGACGAGGAAGAAACGAAACAAGCTTGATTTTTATTTTTGAAAATGGGGACTCGATGCAAAACTTGAAATGAGAAAGAGATAAGTCGAACGATTGATGCGCCAACAATGGAATTTCTATCGAGGTTCATTTGTTTTTTCCCTTTAGAAAGAGTTGTACAAAATGAAATTAAAATAGAGAGAAAAAGAGAAGAAATAGAATAAGAGAGAGAAGAATTGCGTGCCCGAGATGTATACGATTTCTCAGGCACTCCATCCTCGCCTATTTTTACTTTTCCTCTGGATTAGGTGCAGCATGCGCATGCAGACTTGTCGCTATATAACGAGGCAATAACATCAAGCGATTATTTCTTTCCGTTTAATCCCTCTTGTTTAATTGTTACCTTCGCCGAGTCGGCGCGAACAAGAAAATTACCAAAGCAGGAATCTCCACACAATTGTCCATTTCGCCGTTGGATCTCAAAATCTTTTATAGATTTTCGAATTCGAACAGTTCCAAGTTTCATTGATTTGCCGTTCCATTCGATCGGAAGAAGAAACGTCAAGAGGAGAGAAGACAGGAAAACGCATTGAAGAAACGTGATTGAACGATCAGTTGGAGATACCTGCGCCAAAAATGTATTATATCTCCGGAAAGAAATGTGAGTAAGTCGACAGCGAGAGCGAATGTATCGTGCTGTATGATTAGTAACGAGAAGAACTGTTACTGCTCTATATAAGGATAAAAAGAAACACGATGGCTGTGTTACATTTTCCACGGAGTTAACTAAAGAAGAAAAGGGGTTGGGGGATTAAATTGAACGCGAAATTACGAACAAAGAAGCAGGGAAGAAGAGGAGGACTGGATACGTCGGATCGCTATTTTTCATAGGTGTAGATAACGCCGACGATCGTAGAAAATCTATTTCTCGTATCGCGGAAGTCTCTGACATCATGATGGATGTGTGATGCCGCACGTTGTACACATATAATAATTGTAGATGGTAAAAGAGAAATACATTGTAAATTAAGAGAAGTTATGAGTTGGAGAGGATAGAGATACGTGTCGACGACGTGTTGTGTAGCTGGTATCGAGTTGATTGAAAGGAATCGAACGTAGGAAGACTGCGAATGAGACAACTGGAGCGGAAGAGGAGAAACTTGGAATACACACACACGGACAGAAACACCTACACACACCAGCTAAGAAACACTGCCAATACGATTTTAATTAAGGAACCTCTAAGCTAATTGATCGATTAATTATTCTTACTATTATTATTAGGATAAATGTATAACCCGATAGATCTCTAGTTGCCGCGAACGTATGGAAAAAGCGTCCGGATTTCCTAGATTCGCGTACGCGCGCAAATCTTTTCGTCGGTCGCAATTATAAAATAGAGGTCCCACGCTAGTTTCCTTCCTGAATGCACCGACGAACATGTTTGTCGGCGCGCGCGCGTGTTCACGAGTAATCGCGGTCGAGCGAATGTACATAGTTAGATGAAATTATCGATAGACATTGCTCGGCGGTACGAACACCGCCGTTATCTTGGGGATATTCAAATCGCCGACCGATTCCAAACGAGGAGAGATCCCTTTTTTAAAACCCGCGTCTCTTGTTTCGGTGAGAAGAGTCGTGAGGGTGGGTCTGGAAGAGAAGAACGATTCGCGCACGGGGAGGAGAGACGTGCCACTGCCAAGTAAAATCGTGCACTGCCAAAAAGGAAATCATGCACTGCCAGCCGTTCTAAAAGTCACATTCATACAGTCAATAGCTGCACACCCATAGAAACTAATCTCACTTTACAAAAGCTATCGCGCTTCTATCTTATACTAGGTAGTTCCGAGTTTGTTAGGCGCGAATCGTTTTCGAAAACTGCCCACCTTCCGACCGATCGATTTTTTTTACTTTTTTTTTTAGTTTTCCGTTTTTTATGATACTGCCAGTCTGTCGTCGGCAGACGCAAATCAAGGCACTGCCAGCGAAACATAAGACAGAGCAAATCTCAGTCGCATATGTATGTATGTATGTATGTGTGTACCACGTATATCTCATCGTATATACATACATATATGTATGTACAATTATTATACATACGCATATTCATTGAAAATCATTATTGAATTTGATGCAGGCAGATTGATTTACGTGCATACGTTTCGTTTGTTTTCCCTCTTTCACCGTTGGCGCAGAATGTTTCCCTCGTTAATACTTCGGTTTTCGAGGCTCCCCGGCTGTTAGCTGCGTGCGCGAATCATTCCTCGCGTTTGCCGTTCTCGTTCCTTATTGTTTTTCGTCTCGTTCGGTAATCTCGTGGCGTGGTTACGATTCACTCGTCGTTCCTTTAGTTCCACTCGCGTTAGATTCTCTTAGGTCCATTAGATTAGCAGAAGAATGCTATCACGGGTGGTACCACGTTCTCTCACGCGGAAATCCTCGTATTTTTTCTTCATCCTCGCGAGAATCAAGAGTTCTTTTCTTTGAAAAATAGAAGAGATATCGTAGGATCGATTATTAGATTTAGGATGTCTAGTTAGAAATCATTAAGTTTATTTTGCGCGATTAGGGTGTAACTTGATTCTCTTGTTTCGCGACGCGGTGGAACGGCAGTTGAAATTTCCGATCACGCTTGATCTCGTGACAGTGGACCGTGACGAAAAATTTAAGTCGATACGATCCGGGAATCTGATCTTTCTCTCGAGTCTAATCGTTTCGTAAACGTATCTAATAGTTGAGTAAAGTGAAAAACTATCCGAAAACGGATTTGAGTTGTGACTGAATTATTCGATTTACTAAAAGATATGTCCGTTGTTTTTGCGAGGAAAAGTTTGGTCACGGCGGACGAAAAGAGGCAAAACACCGGGAAACAGAACGGAAAAAGACTGCCCAAGTATCGAGATGGTTTACTTTAAATTTAAGAAGGACGCAATTGTACGTACGTGCGTTTTTGCGCCTTTTCGTAAGAGGAACCCGCGAGATACGTTTTTCGCTCGTACTCCTCGATGATTTAGTGTCCCTATCTTAATCCCGTTTTTTTATATCGATCATTTTTTTTTAGGATTAGTAACTTTTATTCACGCGATTCTACACACTAAACAGTAAATGTATATTTTAGCGAGACGTTGTAAAGCTTTGCGCAAGTAAATAGGTATCGATTAGCGTCGGGAGCGAGCGAGAGAGAGACTCGATCTGGGAAAGAGCTACGTTTCAGAAACTTGTTCCCCTCTTTTCGTTTTGAAACTGATTTTTGTGCGAATACGGTATGCTTTATAGCTACTCGATCGGGTCTCAATTTTGTACATGTGTGAAAAGCGTAAAGAGAAAAATGAGAGACAGAATGTTTACGTGGACAGAATGCGAAAGAGTCGAAAGCAAAGAGCACGCTGTTATAATTGTAATAAGGCGTTTAGAACACTGTGTAAATAAAAGAACACGATCGATCACGACAGTAAGTCCGGATGAAAAGAAATAAATACCAGATTACGAAACGATGGGCGAGAAAATGCGAAATGAAGGAAAAGTATGTAGAAGCGTATTGAGAAATATTACATTTTTTTGCAATTTAATACTGAAGACTTTTAAAGGATCATTTGGAGTCGTATTTTTCCGATATTTTTCTTGCTTAGAATTTGGTACGATCATGTGGGAAATGAAGACCTTAGTGTTTTTCTTTTACAAAAAAAAGAGAAAATCGACGACATCGCTACATCTGTTCTTTTCTCATCGATTCAAAGCGTGCACTTAAATTGCGAAATTTATCGTTGGTACAGAGATAACTTTGTAACGCAAGGATGCAAGAAGTAAAATCTGACCATATTTTCAATCCACTCGACCCTGCAACCCTCGAGTACGATCGCGTCTATACATATAGTACATGTTTGTAACTGCGCACAGAAACGAAAGCAATAGAATAAAAATAAGTGTAGATACTTTAGAATGCCAACTTGTTAACGCTCTCCGAATAGAACGTACTCAGGAGTTGTACCGAGTAGAAAAGAAACCGCCTCAAACGTGCTTCTCGTGCCGGTGCTTCGGATTTCAAACGAGCGATAGCGTTCATTCGATTCGTCCACTTATTAAACCCACCGATTCATCGAGTTTCATTTACCCGTTCAATTTTTTTCAAATCGTGCGAGTTTCAATTCCGAATTGCCTGCACGACGTAGCATACACAGCCGAATTTAATGACAAATTTCGATGCGTTTGACGACGAGGAAAAATTTACTTTCTTGTTCATCGTGAAAAAGAAATAAAAGGCGAAACGACTGGTTTAAGACGAGAATCGTCCACCGAATCTGGCTTTCTAGTTTTCACGGCTCTCTCTCTGAGGTGCAAGGATATTTTTTGTATAAACGCGCGGCTTTGTAAATGTACAAAAGAAAAATTAAAAAAAAAATATGAAAATAAAATAGTAGAATTAGTACGAACGATTACGAATAGAGAAACATACGTTAGGATGGGATAGAGTCTCGCCCGACCGCGAGGGAGAAAATCGTCAGAGTGATTATTTTATCAATGTAAATATGTAACTGAAGCGTTATCGAGTAACGATGTAGTCGTTTTTTTAATCGATCGGCGCGGTGGCTATAGGCATAGCGGTATTACGAGCATAGTGTTTGCATTTATTATAAATTCTATGTAAAAGTGCGGGGAGATTCGCGGTGACCGCGAGTCAGAGATCGCGTCGTGTATACCGTGTATTCGGATCGATCGATCGAGCGAGAAGTAGAGGCACGGTAATATACATAGTCGACGTTCCTTTCGTAAACTTCTTCCATATCGTTTGCTCGCGGCGAGCTTATTATTCCCTTTACTCATCGTATTACGGAATGCGTATCTCTTCTCTTATAGTACGTGTACGATCATTCCACGATTCTTCCGTTCGGTTTTGCTCTCCCTGTTGGTCGCGACTAATCAGCTTGTCACGGGCACGCCGCGATGGTTTGTTTCGGTTCGGAGGCGTGTCGTAATAAAGAAAACAGTAGACGATTAAATATTGCATAGTTTCGATTAATAATAAATCCTTTAGACTACGTAGGGAAACTGCGCGAGGGGATGGCGTTTTTCGCCGTGGCGTGTACAATAAAAGTCGGGGAATCATTTTTCGATCGTTTGGTGGTATATTTCCCGATCGGCAGGGAACCGCGACGTAAAATGAAAACTGGAAAGCCCAACTCCGATCATGTTCACTCACATCGTTTCTTCATCGAAGATTGCTTCAATTTTTCACGACTCAAAGCGAAGTGGCAATAAATCGTGCGTGATCTCGGAAACGAAGTATATCCCATTGCACTCTCGGTATTTTAATTGTTACGGCTAGGGGTGGTCATTTGCCACTTCATTGCGTGAAACTACGTTTTCTCGTAACGAATTGACACTGCGAATTGAAAGAAACCGAAGATCAGTCCGGGGAAACGAGAGGTGAAAGAGCAATCGCTTCGCACTGCCAAACGGAAAATATATATGTATGTATGTATGTATGTATAACAGAAGCTTAACGTCTCGCATTCGTTGCGTGGATCGATATTCGTCGAGCGATCGTCGAAGGCACCGCGGTGTTCATTATGTATTAATCCACATAGTGGTAACCCCGAGAGAATCAGAGTAAAAACGATGAGAAAATGATGAGTGCGCGTAGGACGAGATGATAATATTACCTGTATATGCGTATAGGTGAAGCGTACGCGAAGTTTTTTAAGACCCGTATTAAGCGCGAGAACGTGTGAATAAATAAACGAGACGTCGAACATGTGCTTTTGACTTTTTGGATACTTTCATGTACAAACACGAATGATGGTTTATAGCTCAAGGAGAATATTAAAGAGACAGATATTGTAAGAGAGTAATAATAATTTCACGGTTACGATATCGAACTCGCGTCGTCATTCATTGCTCGTTTGTCTACCCGCCCTTGGTACAACCGTTGTTACTGCTCCGACAATAAGTCGTCTATTAACATTTGTAATTACTATTTCTGATCCCTTTGTCAGCGTCGCATGCAACAATTCGCCACAAAAGATAATTGTCGTTCCGCGTTTTTCCCACTTCCGTTCAAGGAGATGCAAAGAAAACAGCTGACAGTAATTGGAAGATTGCGCAACGGCGAAACCGAACTGAAAGAGAATTGGAAATCGAGTGCGGCAAAAGAAAGGAAATGTTTGCGTCAAATATTTGCGTGGGTGCTTTATGGAAGCTCCGTCCTGCTTCCGTTTCCGGCATGAACCACCCCGTCTACGAGGAACACGATATTCCCGCAGGCGGTGAGGCCACGCTGCAGGAAACCCGATCCTTGTTCCAGTCCTACGGACAACCTGTTGGTCACGTCGCGTCGGTTGTGCGTACGTACGAGCACCTACGGCCGATGAGAAATTTAATAAGCCGGCTCGCGTGCCTTTTTACGGATGAACACAATTCGTATCGATCATGCGAGAGGAGAAAGAATTACGATATAATTAGCCGCTGACGGAGTATACGGTTACAACGATTCAAGTGTCCTCCCTCTCCCATTTTTCTCTTCCAACTGTCTCGCGAACGCTCGTTAATTACAGCCAGACGATCTTCCTGTGACTTAAATAAGTATTTTTCATGCTCGCGTTTCCAACGTTACGGTGTTCGAGTTAAACGGGCCGCGACCCTGGGAAAGGAAAAATTTCCGGAGGATGATAAGAGAGGAGCTTGAAACAAAAGGATCCCGAGACTCGTTATTCAAATGGCCCGTAACGCTTCATTCACGGTTGTCATCGGGACAAGCGGTTAATTAGAAAGTCACAGTCGAATTATTTCCAGGTTTTGTTTACCTGTGCTTTTCTTTGTATACCATGTATAGTTGATCGTCATTATATTTCAAAAGTAGAAAGACAAAGAAGACCGGGTACGTCGTCGTTGGGTCGGACGATGATTAAACAGGATATAGTAGAAAATAAATAATCAGACAAAAACGGATATGAGCGCGCGCGGTGAATCGGAAGGCGAACTGATTGTTGATTTACTCGGTCGAGTCTCGAAGATACTGTTCGCCAGTTCCCCGGTGAAAGAACGGGAAGAAGACCTGGAATGGTAATGGTAATGGTACCGGTGCAGAACGTCGGGAACGCGGATTATACGAGCATTCGTTTCTTGCCCCCGTATACTTTCGTCGAGTTCTTTCCTTCGTCCCGTTTGTGTACAGTTAAGGAGACGATCGCGACCGGGATGAAATAGAACCCGCCCTGTTGTCCAACAGGTCGTTGACATTTTCTCGTTTCGAACAATTCAACCCTTACTCGCGATTTATCCAAATGGAAGACAATAAAAGCTAGTTTAGATAGTCGATTTATAAAAAGATGAAATCTGTGAGGCACGTGAGGAATCAAGTAGACATTAAAAGATCTCTGAATGTACGTGCTTTTCACGCAAAAAGTATATGTAGTGTACACTTACGTTTGAATTTAAAAAACCGTTCCTTCCAATATCACGCTTGTTCAGACACTTCGATCTTCCTATTCACGGCAATTTCACACCATTTCTTTCGTCGCATGACGCCACTTTCACGTACGAAGTACAAATATATATACATAGACATAAACACATATACATAAATAGTGTACATGCATACGTTTGATACTTATTTTGGATAAATAGGCGTGAAGCATACGAAGTGTCGTTGCAATTGTTCATCAATTAACGAAACGAACAGAACAACGAGAATACGCGTTCGCACGTCCATTATTGTGGACGATCGGAACCTACCGTGAGTCGTCGCACTTTTGCGATTAATACGCGTAACGGAACTTACCCGGTCAATGTCCCGCAGGGATATACTGATGTTGGTCACTTTTTGCTGTCCGATGAGCCGCGGATGGGAATTAAATCGATGCGAATTCGATAGAGAACGAGACCGTTCCACATGGGAAAGAGACGACACGCGCGGGACACGTACGGTGGCGAAATTTCGTTTTCGGAGTACTTCGGTCGGCTTCCAAGCGGGGCGCCACCGTCGCGACGTACCAGACTTCAGAGTAGTCGCGAGCGTAAGTTCGGCCGGGTAGGACGTGTTCATTGTAGTTCCCGTTGTCCCGTGTTCCTTCGTGATACATACGTCAAACGCGGTTCGTGCCTCGGCGCGAAAACGAACGTGTAGAACAGTGGTTATTTTTTTTATTACGCGAGTGAGACCCTTCCACGGGAAAAGTATAGTGTCTCAAGGAACTCGATCGATTTTTTGTGAAGGACAGAACTCCAGGAGGGAAATTCGTGCGGCGCACATCTCCCGGGGTGTCGAAGGGCGAGTTTGTTGGAAACGTCATCTTCCTCGCCGGTGGTGAGTACACGTTTCCTTTATCATTCATGCGAACCGCCGATTTGTGAACATGAATACGAATAACGTCTTGCTTTCGTGAGCAAGGAAATATACACGAGTTTTTCATGCATTTTTATGCGACACTCCATGCCGCATGTTTGTTTAACTCATTGGTAATAAATTGGCGGTCATTAATCGATTTCAAGCACGACGAACATTCGCGATTATGACGTAGAATCTACACCATCCAACCTATTGTATTTTGCATTTGGCCCTGTATAGATATGTAGTATAATCATAGCCAAATACACATTGGCGTTCGCCGATGTGTACGGCGCGGGAGGGCAAAACACATGTAACTATCGTTTGCTTCGATTAGCATTTTCGTTTCCATAGAACCGAATTCCGTTTCTTAGTAAACGGAAGATAGGAAATCGATTTAGCAATATGAAATAACACGGGCTAAAAAGAAGCGAATCATCAAACCGATAAGAGTTGATGATACATTATGATTAACAAAAATTAAGTATTACTTTCGATCGTCGAACTTTTATATTTCTTAATCGGGTATTTACAGATTCAATTATCACAATTGTGTGAATTTACGAAATTCGTTACAAACAATTTCTTGCGAAATTTTATCAACTACGACGTGAAGCGACAATTGCGTCTTGGAATACACCATTTTTCGGCCAAGGGTATGTCGCCGGTAAATAAACGTTTTTTCACCGCTACCAGCCGAGCGTGTAACTCAAATAGTGTAGACTTTCCTTAAAGTAACTAATGCGGCACGTGTAATAACGTTTTCCCTGTCCCGACAACAGGTTTTCGCGCACGTAAGTGTTTACCTTGCTTATGTAACCCGTCGAAGGCTGATAGCCTCGCGTTCGTTCGACCAATCGATCCAGACGTTCCCTCGTTTTTCTCTATCATTATCAAAGTCAACCAAGTTCCCGTGGCTTTCATAAAAGCTGGCTAGAAAATTCAATTCCATGAGGCTAATTCGCAGGGAATTGGTAACCGAATTAAAGGGCGTGTACATTGGTCATAAATGAATTATATCATTGTTACTGTTGCACTCCTCTACTTCGTACGCGGAACGGCGTACTAGCTCGTAAAACACACGTCGCAAGTTCGTCGTACTCGTGGTAAATTCGAGTCATGCGCGGTCGTGGTGTCGTGTCGTGTCTATTTAGAATTTCAGCGAGATCCGCCGTTGAATTCCGGCACGAGCGGTCGTATTTCACGAGTAAGGGATTGCAAGGGACTCGTGGGGAACAAGAGAGAAAGAGAGACCGGAATAGTACGGGCACCGAGAGGGTTTCCCTTGCGCGATCTCGTTAGTATCTCGATGAAATATACAGGTGGGCAAAGTTAACGCGCTACGCGAGTTTTTCCCCGCGCACGGTCAGATAAGAAAGGTTCCCTCGGAGGTCGTCCCTACTTGATCTCAGTCTGACAAAAATGTAGCTCCTAGCCATTGCTTATTTCGCGCGACGTACACAACAAAACTATTCGTTTCGAGGATCGCAATTCGTTTGTCCTCCGTTTGTCTCATCGCGATAATTAAAAAATCGTTGTAAACAGGCTTACGCAATTCTAAATCCTTGATTCATTATTTGACCTTTCCGTGACAATTACAGTCTCGTCTATCGAGGAGGAGGCGTTCTGAAAATCGCGTGAGAGGAACGTTCGCACGTGAGTTCGCGAATTTTTGATCCTCGAGCATTGCGTAGGTAGAATGACGCGGCAGGAATAATTCCATCGAAGGGAAGGCTCGCGGCGTTTATCGCGGCTAATAAGCGGCGATCCGAGCGGATTGGGAAACGCAAGAAAGTATATCGCTTCGACGCGATTCAATTGGCTCCCGTTGACGCTTCCTTTCCTTGCGCGACTCGCGATCCTTTCATCCGCCACAAACGCGGTGTATAATCCGTGATGTAACCCGCTCCGGCAAATGGTCCAGGAACAGCTGACAGCATTGCAGAAAATTGGCAAGCATGAGTCGGTCGATCGAGGAGCCTTCTCGCGCGTAACCCGTATTCTGACTATCTATCACGCGATCTCGTCGAGATTTCGCCGCGACTAATTGACGGTTTTGAAAAAAAATACGAATCTTACTCGAGATTCACGCGATCGCGTGAACAGTCTTTTCAGCCGCTAGCACCGAAAGTCGCGTGCTCGATGAGGGGAACAATAGGACATAATTTAAATCTCATTCGGGAGCGCAGTTCTTCAAAGACAATCCCAGGGGCAATTATTTTCGTTTATATCGAGAATGTTTGCAGAGTGACAAAAATTGTCGTAAACATATTTTTATACAAATCGAATGATGACACATCGTATGCGTCATGGGTTCTTTGAAATATCTTTATTAACGATTGGAGTAGATTAAAATTGATTGCACACCTTGCGTGAATTATGTGAAAACACTTTGCGGTAATCCTTAAAACACTCTTCTTAGCACAATCCGGTATTACCTTCTTAAGTAAAGCGAGTCGCTTTCATCATCACTGTTTGTGTTTTGGTGTCCTCGATACAAGTTTTAATTTTTACACATCTCAAAAATTATCGTAGCTATCAATGATTTTAGAT